GTCCAAAGCCCCAAGTTCCTGTCCTCTCCAAACAGAACCTTTGCCTTAAGATACTTTACATAGTCACCTTTTCCCAGAGTTGAGCAATAGTTGGTGCACGTATGTGACAAGTGGAGTTGGGCTCCCCAGCACCCACATAGAGCTGTGTTGGCATAGCAACCTGTCTGTAACCCTAGCCCCCGGAAGTCAGAGATGGAATTCCAGGGCAAGCCGAGTAGCTAGGTTCCAATGAGAAACCCTGCCTTGGTATAGAAGGTGGAAAGATGAGGGAAGAGGTACAGTGTCACCCTCTGGATGCATAGTCATGCATCCCATACACATTCTAACAGACATCCACACTGCACACACTTACACATACAAGAAGTCAAGATCCCTTTACCTGGTATGTGAGCTGCTATGCCCTGTATTTGGGCTTCAGCTGTGTTCTTCATCTCATGAGAAAATGACTCCTTTAGGATCACCACAGAGACTCTGGCTGGGTCTTGATCTGAGATTAGAAGACACTAAACATATCTGGGTTTTGTTTAGTTGTTTGTTTGGTTGGTTTTTAATTTTCTCCTGTCAGAAAAGGCCATCTCACCCCCACAGACTTTGAACTCACCATGATTCCAACCACTTGCTCTCCCAGAGCTTGCCGTTCACTGTCCTTCTGTCTGACACATATGATCAGTCATGCAACTTCAAAGTTAGTCTGTGGAGGTTACTTTCCAGGACCACAGAGAAAGGCCGGGGTATAAGTGCTGAGCAGTCAGCACAGGCTGTCCTGTGAAAACAATAGACTACTCTCCCCTCAGCAGAGGATGACTCTGGGTAGGAGGAGAAGGCCTCCCAGAGCCTGCCCTGTCCAGAGCGTGAGGAGCCCCAGGGAACTCGTGACTCATTGTGCAAAGGTGCCCAGCAAGTGTTTGAGAAGAGCATCTCTGTTATGTAAGGCCTCTGAGTCACACAAGCAGATCGTGAATTACTTCTGTGAGCAGTCTGGGTGAATGTGCTAGTGGGTAAGCTCCTTCCCAGGTCATACTTAATCTCTGCGCCGTGTGTGTATGTTTTACAGCTAAATGTGGTGCTTTCTTATTTTCTTTTGCTATTTCTGTTGTTGTTTTGAGACAGTATCTGACTCTGTAGCCCAGGCTGCCCTGGCACTCACAGCAGTCCTCCTGCCTCAGCCTTCCAGGTACTGGGAATAGAATATGAAACACTGTACTTAACTGTGACTTGTATAATGTACTTCAAATTCTTTGATTGCCCTGTTGGCTTTAAAAGGCCGAAAGGCTTTTCCCTTAGCTGTTAACAATGGCGAGTCATCCAGACTCCACTGCTGGTGGGAGCATACATGCACACACATGCCTTACCAGCTGCCTGGGTTCAGCCTGAAAAGGGCATCTCACATCTCACGTTTCTATAATGCAGCCTGCTGTTCCTGCCTCGTCACTCCTCCTAACAAAGAGAGACTGTCTCCGGTGGGGAAGAGCCAGATGCCCACTCCTGAGCTAACAGTGCTTCTCTCTCCCTCCATCCCCCAGGAGGACAACTGTTGGCTTCGTGGCTTACTGCTGCTCCACCCAGTGTCTGCAGACTTTTGACCTGCTGAGTTGATAAACACTCAAGAGCCTTAGGAGCACTGCCAGCTGACCCTGCAGCCGCCTGCTGTCGCCCCGCACGTGTGGCAGGGCCAGGAGAGTCCAGCCAGGCAGATGGAACAGACCCTTCCATCCCGTCCAGTCCTGTCCTGTCCAGTGTGGGGCGGGAGGCATGCTGAACTCTCTGGAAATGTCCCGATTGGGCTTCACAACTGAAAGGCCTTCACCCTTTTCCTCAAGTTGGAATATATCCTCCCCCGAATTAAGGACATTTTGTCTGCTGTGTTTTTCTTTTTATATGAGTGTCTCATACATAAACTATGTAGTCAGATGAGCTTCCCCACATCTAATTTAAAGCGAGTTGCAGCTCCCTGAAGAACTCTTAACTTGATAATAGAACCAAATTAACTGTTGGCCGACATACCTTCGGTGATGATCCTCCTGTCTTTCCCCAGAGGATGATTCCCCTGGAGATTATCCTCCAGGCTTCTCCATTGGAAATTTGTCAGCTTCTACAGTCTCAGGAACCCCTATGGCCTCAGCAGTCCTGCACAGCAGGGCGGGGTGCCCAGGCTGGCGCAGAAGGCCCCAGAGCACACACCCTCTGGAAAGTTCCTGCCTTATTTCTAAGTTTTGCAACCTATGAAGACATTTTTTTTGGGCGGGGGGAGAGGGATGTAAAAACAAAAAATGTAGATACTAATTAAATGCACTCATGTTCTAAACTACAACAGGAAAACAAGTTTTGAAATGTTTGGGTTTTTTGCTAAGATCTTCTATAGAATTGGCAAATTTGAGTCTCCCCTGATCCTCCACTGTGGGTGTGACTTCGTGGTATTTACCCATACGTGAAATCATCTTCATTTTGATTCTGAATTCTCACTAGGAAAACAGAAGTGAACAAGTCCACACTCCACCTCCAGCTTTTGCAAAGCCCACGAGCTTGCCTTGCAGAGAGACACGCTCTTTGTGGGGGAGTCGCTGGTTTCATCTGCTTTGAAAGGATGGCATTTTAATCTGCTTTGCTTCCAGATGTTCATCTGGTTGCTGTGCAGGGGTTCTTCTTGGGGGGGGGAGTTTTATGTCTTAGTGGTATAACTTATATAAGACAAGGTTGAAAGGAGAAGCAAGAAGAAGGGTTGCTTGGTGGAAAAGCTATTTCCAAAAAATGTGGTTGATGACATTTTATTAGCCAGCCTAACTGTAATTCTAGGCTCTCACAGTGCCAAAAATCCTACATAGTTCCTGACAAACGTGTGATCTCTTTGCAGTCACACCACCTGCTGCCCAAAAAGCAGACTCTCCTAGTAATGGCAGAGGCAGAAAAGGACCATGCTTGCCAACTGTATCGTCACTGTTCCTACTTCCTCCCGTCCCTTTCAGAACTTGGTCTGCTCAGCCTTCGCATTTCAAAGGCCCAGAGTATAAGAGGAACCGAGGGTCTGGATCAAATGTGCCACTCCTTTCATCCTTAGAATAATGGAAGTTTGAGTATCACCCCTATATGTATATAAGTTAGAGTGAGAAAATGTGACCTGAAACTTCGCATATGTGTTTGGCTTAAGTAACTGCTACACCACATGAGTGACAGTAAATACATCTTTCCGTTTCACCCTCGGCTGTCATGTCTTAAGACCCTGATACTCAGGAACTCTCACTGAGGTAATAAGGTGTGGAATACTTTTGTTTTAACATGCTCAAATTTTTGCAGAGGTGTTTATACTCCAGACATCTTCTCTTAGTTAGGAACTGCAGTGTGCTGAACACCAGCAGTGGGCTGGGCACACAGCCTCTAGGCTGTCAGTCTTAATCTTGGGTGCAGCCTGGGCGTATTGATGAGAAAGAGAACTTAGAAGGTGGTTTCCCTGGCGCTGTTCCTTGTGGAGACTTTGTGCTGGACTCGCTCATGTCATTGTTAACTTTTGGTGTTATAAAACAACTGTTACCAACTGGAGAAAACTCGCCTCTATGCTGCGTGCTCCAATTGCGTCTAAAGCTTTAGAAGAAGAAAAAGGAGGCTTATTTTGTATCTTCTTTCTTCCCTCCCTTTCTTTCCTGGGGATCCCATCCTGAACAATGCACATGCTAGGTAAGTGCCCTGTCGATGAGCTATACCTCCAGCCCTATATGTTGTTTTCCTGACCAGGTAGACAGATATTTCATACAATGACAATAATAAGTCGAATGAGCTGCTTGGAAAGTGTAATCTGGTCAGGTAGGTTTTCATCTTCAGCTCATGTGTGGTTGATTAATGCTAAGTTAAAAGCTAGGCTGGCATTGAGGAAAGATAGGTCTTTTTATGGTATATAATAGAACCAAGGCATCCTTTTTAGTTGATTCCCCACTGGTGTTCCTCAGTAGAATTGTTACCATAACAGACAATCCAGATTATATAACATTGTGCAAGTGAAAATGTTGTATCTTCAATGCATTATATATGTGTGTGCTCATATATATGCATATATGTATGTGTGTATGTATGTATGTTTGTATATATATACATGGATATATGTGTATGCATGTACATATGTGTATACACATATATATACATTGAATACAACCTTTTCACTTGCACATATATGTGCATATATATACATATACATTGTATATATTTAATTTTTTCCATTTGACATTTTCATATATATATATATATATATATATATATATATAATAAGTTGCTGGTACCCTCAACTCCCCTCTCCCAATGGAGCCCTTTTCACCAGGGTATGCTTCCATGTCTTTTGTGCGTGGCCTCCTGAGTGTGGTCAGTCCCGTTCCTGCGTGGGAGGTCATCCACGGGAGCAAGAGTAACTCATCAGGGCTCCACCACTGTAGACAATGACCCCTCCCCCGGGGACAACCTTCACCTGGAACATCCTGGGGGAGGGCCTGGCTGGCCTCTCCTGCATCCACAGTTCCAGTTCTGTAAATGCCTTGTTTTTAAGAACGTAGAAGAGCCCCGATGGTAACCCACTCTGACAGGGCACAGGGGCAAACTGTGTTTGCTATCTGGTCCTCTTTTAGAAACATCTTTTGGTCGTTGCCACGAGCTCTCACTAGAGCCCTTCACCCACAACTTGCTATTTTAACACTCATCTCACATTATCTCACACCGAATATTACGAGTTAAAATATGGCCTAAGAAAAAAGCCATCAATACCTTACAGACTCTACTTGTAATTTTCATTAAAATATACGAGTACTGCATGGTCTCCCGGGGCTTTCAAAGCCAGCTTTAAGATGAGTGGTAAAAGTAAATTTCTCAAGTTGAAAAGTCAGACCTTACTTGGACCATAAAAGGTTCAAATGTGAAAAATGCTTCGATGGAAATCAAAGCATGTTTAAAGTTATGAGCACAGATTTAATGGACAAACGCCATGCAACCTCCTGTGATTAGATGCTAAGACATAACACACTCACTTCATATTTGTGTAGCTTTATAGATCACTGGGCCAGCGTAATGTTTTTAGTTTTCATGATTTCTGTACACCCTGTTTGTTCCAGCAAACCTCCACAATATTTCTCCAGTAACTCTGAGCATCTTGCCTTTTCTTTAAGCAGAGAGGATTTTACAAGACCCATACTCCTGAAGATAGCTCCGTGTCTAAACCCAAGTCTGACTGTTCCTATCCAGGAGGTACCTCCAGTGACATCAGCTAGTAGATCTGAGTGATGCGAGTGTCTGTAGGAAAGAGATGGAGCATAGCCCAGCGACTGTCATCCTCAGGAAAAGACAGTGCTTCACAGCCCAAGATGCTCTTTGAAGCATGACTGCATGGTCCTTTGTACTGCCTGCAGCCAGAGTGGAGGCGGGGCAGAGGTGGAGGCGGGGCAGAGGGTAGAGCCTTTGGAGATCATTCCTGCATGAAATTAAGACACAAGGGTTACTGGGTTTGGTTTGGGTTTTTAAGTTTTGTCACTTTGCAGTAGGGACAGGATTAATCTCTCTATCTTTGTTAAAGAATGTTTATTGGGTTTTGTTTTTCATGTGTTCTAAAGGTTGTGCGTGTGTGTATAAATACATCGACTTGGAGCATTTGCATTGTCTAAAATGTATATTATATCTAGTTTGATCACATGCTTATGGAATAATTGTTATATAAGTAACATATAAAGAATAATTGAACCTAAATTATGCAAATGCTCAAAAATGTAGATGGTATGGTAGAATCTTCATTGTTTCAACCAAATTCACTTTGCTAAGAGAAAGGGGCCTTAAGCCAGGCAGTGGGGTAACTCACACCTTTAGTCCCAGCAGGCGGATCTCTGTGACTTCTGGGCCAGCCTTGTCTACAGAGTGAGTTTCAGGACAGGGTCCAAAAGCTACAGAGAAACCCTGTCTCTAAAAAAAAGGAGGGTGGGGGACACTTTATATATTTAGGTCAAGGCCAGCAAAATGGTGGGTGAAAGACATCTGAAATTTATACATACCTCATAAAAGCAAATAGAAAATAGAAAATTGTCCAGAATGTTTGAATCTACTTTTTCCAGGACATAAAACAACCAGCAGGTCTGGGGAACGAGGCATCCAGGGGGCTAGAGGAAGCTCTGTTGTTCCCGAGGGTCAGATGGTCACACACATATGCAGGGCTTTGCACGTCCAGAGGGTCCTCCCCTTGCTCAGGAAGACCTGATAGCACCTAAGGGCTCATCTTAAGTTGCCCTTGAGGCTCTGTGAAAGCAGACCGTAAAGCCAAAGGCAGTGCTGTCACCTCTGACTGGGTGTGGAAGGATTGTCCCTACATGCACTCAGAGCCCGGAGCACACATGGAGAGACGTGTTGGTTCCAGGTAAGGAAATCTCTGTCCTATCATTGGCTGATCTCTGAGCTACCAGAGCAGACAAAGAATGCAGACTGCTGAGCTACCCTGAAGACTCAGCCAAAACCCAAAGCCACAACTACAGTGAGCCTCTTAGGGAGGTGAGCATATAAGATTTCAGTCACCACAATGTCCTGTAAAGTGCCCAGTTTTCCAACCCCCCCCCAAAGTGAAACATTTAAAGACACAAGGAAATATATGAGAAAAACATGTAATAAATGAAAACTGCACTCAAAGGAGGGAACCAGGGGTGGAGCTCCACTGGTAGAGAGCTTGCCCAGTACATGTGAAGCCCTGGGTTCCATGGTTGTAGCATGAATAATAAAAGACCCAGAGATAGACATTGGGGTTCAGACTGATGGTCAGATAAGCAAAGCAGCCAAGCCCGTAGCTCTTACCTCTACCTCAGGCTGTAATGGCGGCCCTGTCTCCACGAGTTCTCAGACTCCAGTGCGTCTCTGTCTGGAAACTAAATCTCCAAACAAGACCCTTTGCCTCCCTAGTGCTGGGATTAGAGGCATGGGATCCCAAGTGCTGAGATCACTTTTGTGTGAGCCGTTTGTCTTTAGGACTGGATCAATTTCATGTGGCTCAGGGCAGCCTTGAACTAACACAGAGATCCGTCTCCTGAATCCTGGGATTAAAGGGGTGTGCCAACATTGCCTGGCTCTGTGGCTTGCTAGTATGGCTGCTCGTGTTAAAGGTGTGTATCACCATCGCCTGACCTCTGTGGCTTGTGGCTAGCTTTGCTTTCTGAGCCCTCAGGCAAGCTTTAATAAATCATAAATAATACGTCACCACACATGGTAGCAAATATCTGCAACCCCAGAACTTGGGAAGTAGAGGCAAGAGGGCCGAAGTACGTTTGTCCTCAGTTGTATAGAGCTCCAGGCCAGTGTGGGTTACCTGACTTTAAAAGCGGGGTGGGGCAGTATAAAACTGATGTTTTCCCAAATCGAAAATACTAAACATGTGTTGTGAAGTTGAAAGCACTAACTAAAATGAAAAGTTCACAAGGTCTGCCCGCCATCACATTTGAGCTGCCGGAAGAATGATAAAACTTGAATATAGGTCATTTAAGATTATCCAGTTCCAAAAGATAAAAGCAAAAAGAAGGAAGAAAAATTAATGGTCTCAGAGATTATTATCCATTTACAAAGGGCAGAAACAAACAAAAAGAGAGAAGAAAATATAGTCTCAGAGACCTGTGGAATATTACCAAGCACTGAACTTATGCTTGATTGGACTCTTTAAAGGGGGAAGACAAAAAATTTAAATGGCCAAAGACCCCAATTGGGTGAAAATCACTGATTTACAGCTCAAAACGCTCAGTGTATATCAAGAATGAAAAATTCAAAGATACCCGTGACTGGGCACATAGTCACATTGTCCAAGACAGTCCTGAAGTAGGGAAGACACAGCTCAAATTCTGGGTGGTCTTCATCAAAAACATGGAGAGTGGAAGTAGTGGAGTGACATATCCAAGTGCAGAAAGTAAATGACTATCAAATAGTTGTGTGTCCACCCAGCCTCAGAGGCAAAGGTACGGTAGCCCCCCCCCATGAGTTAGCAGCGGCACATTTCCCTCTGGTCATGCCAGCCAGAGTCCATCATGCTGAATGAGAGGAGACAGTAACTCAAGTCTACAGAGGAAGGGAGTGCTGGGAAAGGTAACTAAGTAAAAATAAGAGAAATTCATTTCTGTGCATGGTTCTCTTTCCTTCCTGAGTTACAAAGCAACTGTATAAAATAATAATTATTAATCTATGGTAATTGTCACACAAAAATTATGTGACAAAAGTACAAAGCCAGGGGACAGTAAAAAAATTTACATAGTAGTCTAGTTTGCTTTCTGGTGCTGTAATCAACACCAAGACCAACAGCAACTTGGAGAGGAAAGGGTTTATTTCAACGTACAGTTCCAACTAACAGTCATCACTGTGGGATGCCCTGCAGAAGAAACCATGGCCTAGTGCTCTTCACCAGCATGCTCTCTCTTTGTCTGCTAGCTTTGCTGTGCAGTTCAGGCCCACCTGTCCAGAGATAGAGCTGCCCACAGTGTGCTGGGTCCTCCCAAATCCATCACAATTCCTTATAGACATGACCACAGTTCTCTCTTCCCAGGTGACTCAAGTTACATCAAACTGACAGTAGAAACTAACCAGCACAAATAGGAGCCAAATTTTTGTATGCCATTCATATTAATCAAAACAGGTTATAAATTAGGATACTGAGTATAAACATCAAGGAAAACACTAAGCAAATTGCTAAAGAATGTAAACCATGGCCACTGGGATGGCTTGATCACTGGCCTGGTGACTAAGCTTCAGACTGAGGGGGTTGTGGTGAATTAGAAGCCAACCTGGACTGTATAGCAAGAGCCTAACTCAAAAAAGTATGTGTGTGTATGACATATATAGATTCATATTCATAAAGATGTATGGTGTAGATAAAGCAGCACTTAGTGGGTAATAACTAGCCATAAATGCCTAATTAAAAAAAAAGAACGCTCTTAATAACGTAGCCTTTGACATCACAAAACAAGAACAACAAATAAAGCAAGGAAACGGGAGTGATGTGGACTAGAGTAAAATAAATGAGGAAGTGGAGAGACGGCCCACCACATTAGGCACTAATTGCTCAAGCCTGAGTACCTGAGTTCAAAGCCCAAAACCCACATAAAATTCAGATGTGGTGACAGGCATTTATAATCGCACACTCCTCAGCAAAACTGTCCCAAAGCTCAGGGTCCAGCTAGAATGGAATATGCAGTACAGCATCAGAAATAGGGACCTAACAAGACAGAAGGGGAAAATCCTAGAAGTTGTTATCTGACCTCCACACTCAAGCTGCGGCACTCAGACACACACACACACACACACACACACACACACACACACACACAAATAATAATTTTTAAAATGTCTTAACAAAATAAAAGCTACTGGTTGGAAAACATAAAATCAACACACCTTTAGCTAGATTAGAAACAATGTAGGAGATCTACAGCATGAAGGATTATTCCTTACAGAAATAAAAGAATTATGGGAACACGTGTGTGTGTCTTTTTGATGCATGGGAAAATACTGATTTTCAGCTTGTTAGGATCTAGAACCACAATGGAAATGAGTTTCTGGGCATGGCTGTGGTTAGGTTAATACAAGCGGGAAGACCCACCTTACTGTGAGTAACACCATGCTATAGCCACCTGAGCACCGACACATGTTGCTTTCTGCTTCCTGACCAGCTGTCACCCTCTGCTCCTGCCACTAGACCTTCCGTTATGATGGGCTGTACCTTCACACTGTGAGCCCCAAGTGACTGTCACCCTCAGCTCCTGCCACTAGACCTTCTGTTATGATGGCTGTACCTTCCACTGTGATCCTCAAGTAAACCCTTTTGTCAAGGGTTTGGTTGCTGTGCATATATTCCTTCACTGATGGAGTCTTCCAAGTATTTCAAGAGTATTTAACACTAATTATGAACACATTTCTTACAAATTATAGAAAATACCTTTCCCAACTCATTCCTTTGACCAATTATTATATACCAACGTTAGACAAAGTAAAAATATCTTTAGGCCAATATTGCTTAATATGGATGTAGTTCTCAACAAGATATTAACAAAATGGATCCAGCAACATAGAGAAAATGATTATAAACCATCATCCAATATGATTCATCTTGGGGATACAAAGTTTAATGTAGAAAAAGGTTCAACCAATATACTATATCACCTTATTAATATATAGGACAAAACAAGAGCTAGTAGCTACAGGAAAAGATTTAACATTTGACAGATATTCAGCATATTTTCTTCATGAATGCATCCAGAAAAATAAAAATGGGAGAACTTCCTCGACCATATAAAGCAAACTACAAAAACCCACAGTTAATTTGTTAGTGGCAAATGAGAAAATATCATAAGCTTCTCCTCTACCTCCTGAAAGCAGGACATGGCAAAGATAATCCTCTCAGTGTCTGTTCAATGTGGAGTTTCCAGACAAAGAAAAGAGCAAAATGAGAGAATAAGAGGCATTTAAATTGGAAAAGAAAAAATTTACAGGTGACATGCTCTTGCACAGAAAAAAATATTATGGGGGCCATTCATGGTGGTATACACCTTTAAACCTAGCACTCTGGAGGCAGAGGCAGGGGCAGTTTGAGGCCAGCCTAGGCTTACATAGTTCTAAGCCAGCTGGGGGTACCTGTTTCAAAAAAATGGAAAAATAATCCCTCTCCCTCCCTGTCTGAAAACTATTATATATAGAGATACTGATATATATACACATCCATAAGAAACTATTATAGATGGGCAGTGGTGGTGCACGCCTTTAATCCCAGCACTTGAGAGGCATCAGCAGGCAGATCTCTGTTAGAGGCCAGCCTGGTCTTCACAGTGAGTTCCACCAAAGCTACACAGAGAACCCTGTCTCAAAAAAAACCCTAATATATGTGGAGACATATATCCATAAGAAAACTATTATATGCATGGATATATACATATATAGGAGATACACATATCCAAAAGAAAACTATTAGAGATAACAAATTTGGCTAGGTCACACCAGACAGGATTAATACAGAAAAATGAACTGATTTCCTATATACTATTACTAAACAACCTCCAAGAAAACTAAAATTAAGACAATTCAATTTCCAGTAGTATGAAAAAGAATAAAGTATTTGGCAAGAAATTTAACAAAAGAAGCAAAGATTCATGAAGTAAGAATCACAAAACAGTGAAAAAGCTAAAGGCACATAGGTAATTTCCTCATGCTGGGAGACAGGACTCTTGAGTAGCATTACTTCCCAAATCAATTTGTAATTCAGTTAATTTGTCAATATTCTAGGTGTACATGTTTCAGAAAAAAAGAATACTTAGCTTATACTAATATAAAATGCAAAACATTGAATATCAAAATAATCTTAAGAGGATTCACATTTCTCAATTTCAAAACATGCTACAATAACAACTCTATAATCACACAAAGTTACACATAGAGATAATTGGGATAAAATTGAGATTCCAAAAATTGATCCCAATATTTATGATTAACTTAATTTTGGCAATTGTTCCAAGACAGTTTGATGAGGGAATATGTGGCCTTTTTATCAATAATACTTCTATGATGGTCACATGTAACAAAACAAAATTAGGCCCCAACCTCATACCGCATCCAAAAGAGAGTTCTACATGGACCATAGACTGCAGTTTAGGAACTAAAATAAAATAAAACTCTTAGAAGAAAATGAAGGAATAAACCTGCATGCATTTGTATTTCATGAATAACAAAAAAAATGAATTCTGCTTTATCAAAGCTTTTAAATGCCTCAAGCAACGCTGCCAAGGAAGCAGAAGGACAGCGCGTATTGTCAAAATGCTCTCAGGACATGTATCTGATGAGAGCCTAGTATCCCAAACTCTTATGGCTCAACAATAGAAAGAAACACTTCCAGCTAAAGGGACAAAGAATTTCAATAGGTGTTTTCCAAAGAAGACTGGATGTAAACATCCCAAACCAGGTGAAAAGAAACTCGCCATCAGAGCCATTTAGGAAGTAGTGAGAACCAGGAGACACCACTTAATGTTCACCGGTTTTTCTAAAAAGTGGACAAAAGTGCTGTCAGGAGGGAGGGGGTGAAACTGTCATGCATTGCTGGTCAGAACATACAGTCCTCATGTAACCAGACAGACAGTAACGGACGCCTTTCCCTCAAAGTGGGGGCAGCTCTACTGCTCCTCCATGGATGATTGGCTAAATAAAGGGCCATGTCTCCATATGGTGTAGCGTGGCCCAGACGTAAAGATGAATAAGCTACTAGCCTATGTGGAAACGTGCAGACACATTATTACATAAGAAGCAATGAAAAGAGCCAGATGCAGAAATCCATACACGTGATGAGTCCATTTCTAGGAAATGTCCAAAATCTCCAAATCCATAAGGATAGAAGTAGATTAATGGTCCCCAGAGGCTGGGGGAGAAAAAAAATGGATAGTGATTGGGATGGTGATGGAATTTGTGGGGAAGAGTGATGAAAATAGTCTGGAATTGATCATGAACATTATGCAATCTTGCAAACATACTGGAGACCAATCAACTTAGATGAATTTTTAATCTCTGTTTTATCATACCTGGTGAGGCAACTTAACTTACATGTCTGTTAATAAACATGGGCTCGTCCAAAAACACTTCCAGAAGCTGTTGATAAAGACTGCTGTTGCTGCTGGCGGTGGTGGTGCACACCTTTGATCCCAGCACTGGAGAGGCAGAGGCAGGTGGATCTCTGTGAGTTTGAGCTGGTTCCAAGACAGCTAGGGCTACACAGAGAAATCCTGTCTGGAAAAACCAAATCAAACCAACCAAACAAACAAAAACTGCTGTTGCTTCGGCGGGATGTAAAGGGAAGGGGAACAGTGTTAGCCGGCATCTAGTCTTAGAGTTTGTTCTCGCTGGTTGTGTTTATTTCCGTCACTAGAGCAAAGCATCTCCCCAGACAAGAAAGTTACAAGGTTCATGCTATAGTTTAGCCCCAGGTCTCAGAGGTCTCATTCCGTGATCTACTGCCTCTGTTGCTTTCTGCCTGGGGTGAGGCAGGACATCATCATGACAACCAGAGCATGTGTCAAAGGAAGTAGCTTATCTCAGGGATGGCCAGGAAACAGAGATGAGGGATCCCAGGTCCATATGCTGCCATGGCACATGCGCAGTGACTCACTTCCTGCAGCTCAGCTCTTGTAATAGCCATCCACTATGGCTTCCTCAGTAACCGTTGCAGTGAGACCCCGCAAGAGCCCACTGAGCGTCAGACACTTTTGAACCGATGTGTTTACAAACAAGTGAGAAACCATACAGTACTAAGAAGTGCTTTCAAGTGGTTGGAAACCGCATTTGTCTTTTACCTAGATTCCCAGAATTATTTTGGTATATCATTCTTTATGGAGAGCAAAGATGCACAGGGAGGAATTATTTACTAAAAGTCCTATCTTTTCAGTAAAATCATTACATATTCATAGTATTGTCAGATAGTCTCAGAATAACCGAAGGCAGTTTGTAATACTCTGAACTTGATAAAAGGCACTATTAGATCCAATGGCAAAGAGTTAACCTGCCCTCTGTGATAGTGTGCGGACTATAGTAGATACTGATCGTAGGTCAGAACTGGCATCATTCTAAATAAAGAGGAGAGAGGGTCTTTTTCACTTTTCACTTATGTACAATGGTGTTTTGTCTGCATGTATGTCTACACACCAGAAGAGGGCATCAGATCTCATTACAGATGGTTGTGAGCCATTATGTGGCTCCTGGGAATTGAACTCAGGACCTCTGGAAGACCAGCTAGTTTTCCTAACCACTGAGCTATCTCTCCAGCGCAAGAGATTAATTTTTTAATAAGCTAGTGTTGCATTACTGCTCTGTTTTAAACATGTTAGTTTAGCTCTTTTCAACCTGAGCAATCTTAGGAAACTTTGACACTTTCATTTGTGTCAAATTCATTTTTTAGTAGAGCCATGCAATATGACAAATTCAGAATACAGTTGGGTTCCTGTGACTGGCATGCCACTGCCATGAGGTCTCACAAAGGTTTCTCAAAATTGTCTCTGCTCAGCGCTTTGTTTAAGGGCAACAACAAAATGATCTGAGATTGGATCAATTAAGCCTTTACTTAAAGCTAAACCAATGCATTCATTTGCATCTGAAGCATGGCCAAAATAGGAGCAGTTCGCAGGGTCACTGAGAAATGGAACCTGGGATCTAGCAATAGTTCAAACAAACAGCTCGGAGAAAGAGCTGTGTCAATGCCAAGGAGAAAATGGCACCAAAATCTGGGCCGGATGCGCAGGAGGCCGGATGCGCAGGCTAAGGAAGAATAGAGAATCGCACCCTCCTGGTGCCTTGGTGGCCAAGAAGCTCAGCAGACTAACAGGTGTGAAGAGATTGGAATGAAGAGAAGAGGGTGTGGAGGGCTGGGAGACAAAACAACCAAAACTTACAGAAGACAGCAAATCTTAAAATCGGGCTTGGGTTTTCCAGTGTCCAAGTTTCCTCACCGTCTTCTGTTTTAATGTTATGCACCGTGCTCAGTGGAAGAAAATCTAAATGTAAGGATAGAGATACTGTGGGCTCGCACCTCTGCCTCCACCAAGCCACAACCTTGGGGTTCCAAGTGTCCTGTTTTTGCTTTGCTGGGTGCTTCCTGCCTTCAGCTGAGTTCACTCCAGACTATCCTCAGGCTCATGATGGAGATGGTAATGATGTTGGTTGTTTTGGACAAGGACTGGGGTCCAGTGTTTAGACTCTAAGTGAACCCACCATAGCCTACTCTGTAGGAAGCTAAGGGGATACTGGGGTTTCGCAGGTCAAAGGGAGTCCAAGTTAAGATACTGTACACGAGTGCAAAGAAATGATGCATGGTTCTTACAAAAATCCCCTGGATCTGCCACATTTGGCAGAAGACATGAGAAATACTGAAAATCTAAAGACAGGCATGGAAACACGAGATTAAAGAGCAGAATCATCTGATACCACCAATATCAAAAGAAAGCAAGAAATAACTTGATCTCCACATGTGCCTGTGGCCACCTTCAGGAGCTGTCTTCACATGCCACCTTTCTCTGGGACACTCTTGCCCAGTCCCATATCTTCGCGTGGATCTCACTGATGTATCTCAGTTGGCAAGCCCATCTCCAAGGAGGTGGAAAATTCCACAAATAGAACTCATCCCGCCTCACCCACCCCACCCTACCTCACCCTTGGGTTCCTCTCAGGATCCCTCTTGAGTCCCTTTGCCAAAGCTGCTGCGTGCGAATGCAGATGGTCTCCACAGATCGCGCCCTCTGCTCCTGATGGGCTCATCCAGCGTTGGGTAGGCTTGGCCTGCAATGGTGACCAGAGGCTGCACCCTGCATTGTCCCCACTGCCAACATTGAAATAACTGTCACCCCTCTTGTACAGAAAGGCCCTTCCAGGGAACCCTGGGAGTTTTTCTTGGAACATTTCATGTGGTGTTTCTCACTAGCGACTTTTGAAAACACGCCATCTGGTACAACGAGCCTTGAATTATTACTGTGTCCGGTGAGACAATGCACACTCTCAGGCTTTAGCTATGTGGTTGCTTGCTTTTTGAACCTGCAGCTTCCTCCTAGCAAAATTTCCTTCTGTTAACTTCTACTTTTCAAAGCAGCATACTATATACAAAGTCTCCACCAAGTGATATCCTGGCTCCTCCGAACACAAGAGAAATGCCAAACGCTACTGATAACTAGGAAGGAGCCAGGCTCAGACCGGCAGCTCAAAGGGAACTTAAAACCAGCGAGTGCCCACCACTCTGCAACATTAAAAAAATTCTCCCTCCCGAAGGTGAGTGCCAGGGTGGGTCCTGGCACTTGGAGGTGGAGAGTGGTTATCAAGAGTTGAAGGCCAGACTGGGCTACATGTTCATTAAAAAATGTCCTCCTCGCTCTGCTTAGGAAAAAAAAAAAGAATTGAGGGTTGTAAATAATGAATGAATAGAATAAATAACTGTCATGGTGATGTCGTGTCTAAGAAGCAAGGCACTGTGCTTTCAGACTCATGGAGTCGGCTCTCTAGCTTCTCTGGCCTATATAGAGGTTTAAGAATATCCGGACATGTATCTGTTACATGAAATAATCACCTCGGTCCTAAAAATACTCTCTTGCTACTAATTCAATTAAAAGAATGCAGTGGGAAATCTTAATTAAGCTTTCTAGGTGGTTAAAACTCTGCTACCAGAAAAAATACTATTCTTAGTGCCTCACAGTCAAATGGCAGAAGACACCCTCAGCAGAGAAGTGGCAACTCTTCCCTGTGCCTGGGCACATCATGTGAGACCTCACTGAGCAAAGCTGCGGCTGGGCAGATGCACAGGACTTGGGTGGATAAGCATTGTGCCCTCCAGGGGAGAGCAGTTGACAAGAGGCCAGATGCCCTCGGGACACTCTGGACGAGTTGAAACCGTCCTACCCCGCCTTGCTTTGATGGTGCTGATGAATGAGATAAGTTTTCACTTTTCAGCACCTGGTGTTAACAAGGCAGACTTCACAGCATCAAAACACCAAAGGCAAAACCAAAACAGTGCTCACAGATTGGCAGTAAGTCAGCGGGAGAAGAGAGCTGCAAGGAAAGGCGGGAGATTGCGTTCCAGACACCATCAGTGTGAAAAGATGACGTGCCACAGAGCCACAGGGAGGCACAGTACGCCTTGGCGGGTTTTGTGGAGAGACCACGAGTGGGGTCAGGCTGGTGGGAGAAGTTGCTGGAAGGCAGCGCCTCTCTAGGGTCTCAGCCTCCTCTTCCCTTCACAGGCCCACGCTGCAGTGATGAGCAGGCCCAATGCTAGAAGGAAACCACGGTTTCCCATGGGCTGGGCCACCAAGTAGAGCTGTGTACCCACACGAGAATGGCATCTTTCCTTAGCAGTCCTGAGGGACCCCTGGGAGGGCAGATATTTGCATGGGTACCTTGGCCAAAGGACATGAAGGAGTTGAAGGTAAAAATTTCACAGCTTGATTGCAAAAGATTCCAGGTTAAAAGTCATTCATTGCTGGGCATTGGTGGCACACGCCTTTAATCCCAGCACTCGGGAGGCAGAGGCAGGCAGATCTCTGTGGGTTCGAGGCCAGCCTGGTCTACAGAGCGAGTTCCAGGACAGCCTCCAAAGCTACAGAGAAACCCTGTCTTAAAAAAAAAACAACAAACAAACAAATAAAAAAAGCCATTCATTGACTCTAGGACTCGAATGAGCAATACAGAGCTGGGGACCTGTCTTCAAAGGAAAAACAGACTGTAACAAAAGCAGACCACATGAGTACAAGTCCCCAGGAGGCAGGTGAGGGGGCAGAGGTGGCCAGGGAGTCTGAAAGATGCAGTCAGAGTGGAGAGGAGCAGGGAAGAATGTCCTAGCCGAGGAACCGTGTGGTGGGCAGATCTGAGGTGAGGAAACACTGGACGTGTTCTGGGACTGAGAGAAGATGAGTAGGACCAGATGTGGTAAGAAATGGACAGCCTAGATGGGAGAGAGGCCTCCGCAGTTTAGAGCACCAGCTGCTCTTGCAAAGGACTTGGGTTTGATTCCCAGCACCCAAATAGCAACTCTCAACTCTTAAGTCCAGTTCGAGGATACAATCTCATCTTCTGGTCTCCATGGGCGCCTCATGTAAGTGATGCACAGATGCACATACAGACAAAAGAGCCACACACATAAGGAAAATGACTTTAAAAATGTAAAGAAATCTTCAGAGTGGGGTGTTTGAGAGAGCAGTGAGGACGCCCAGCCAGGCTACAGCTGACAACACTGTGAACTAGATGTAGCAAAGGCAAGAGGAAATTAAGGAGATCTTCCATGAAACAGGACCTTGGAAAAGGGGTTGCCCCACAAGAAAACCTCCCTTGTGGTTAGCGTGAGAGATCGGATATGTGAATGGATGAGAAAGTGTGACAAATGAGTGAGGTATGGTCACCGGCATCTAGCCCTCCACTCTCGTGAGCCCTCTGCATGATAGTCTGCTTTCTGTTATGTGACGAAATACCTTGAATAACCTACTTAGAGGGTGAAAAATGTTTATTCGTGATTGGCTGTCCTCGCTGCTTTGGCCCTATGGCAGGGCAGCACACTACGGTGGGAGCATGTGGTGGAACCAAGCCACTCACCTCGTCAACCAGAACACGAGGACTAGGAAGGGACTGTTGGTCACAGTCTCCTGCAAAGGCTTGTCCCCAGTGACCAAGGACCTCCTACTCTTCCCTACTTCTTAAAGAATCTACTGTCTCCTAGAACCCCTGCGTTGGGGACCAAGCCTTTAACACATGGCCATGAAGGAAATTAAACATGTACACTATTTTAGACAGTGCCCCTTACAGGGCAAGGGGGCAGACATGTCTCTTGGAGAAGATTCTCCTGGAACCTTGGTCTCCATCTTCCACCAGACATCACCATGTCCACCCTGAGCATCCTTAGGTGGGTTGTGGTTGAAGACATTGAGGGTGGTGTCCTCAGAGGGCACAGGACACAGGGGAATGAGAAAATACAGCTGTTGTCAGAGGGATAGTTCTGTGTCCCCAACTTGAAAAGACTCTTGTAGATGTGGAATGATGTCACCTCCTTGCCTTCTTACTTAGGAAAATAATCCTGGGTCCTAGAACTGCTGTAATTCTATTTTTTTAAAGGCTGTCTTCACGCAGAGGCTCCTATGGGCCAGAAACTTGTGGAGAGAATTTGGGCCCGTCTCTGGAAGCTGTGGTCAACTTTCCAGGTGTCCCCACAGGGTC